ATATTTAAGTGTATTTTAGTTTACCGCCCACTCTATTCTAATAATTAGAATGTCATAATGGGCAATTAAATCACTCCTGCTTGTGTTGCATCTTGCGTTGATTTGGGGATGGGTCAACATGGGACTTAACATACCTTTCTAATATTTTTTCAATAATTTCATATGGTCCCACATACTGGGGACTCAATTTTCTTATTTTTCCAAAACGTTGGACTATTGTCAGATTGACCTTGATAAATATAATTTTTCAACTTCAAACTTCATTGGTCTACGTTTATCATTATAATATTTTCATTGTAAAAAAAAATTAATCTTTCTTTGATTAGTTTAACTTTCCCTATAACGTCATGCTCAAACTCAACACCAATAATTTTCTTTTTCCTTATTTCAGTCCCACATAATAGTGTTCTATTATTCCTTCCATAAAGAATTTCATATAGTCATTCAAAACTTGCCTGAAAATTGTTATTATATGTGAATTTTTTCAGTTGTATATGTGACTTCCATCATTCGCTAAAATCAAAGATATATAAAGAGTAAATCCGCTAAAATTTCAACTATCTTTTCTGATTCATGTCTGTGGACGGAATGCAGTGTTGAAAGTCAATGTTATGCACAGAATTCCCAGCTTTCATAACTGGATCAAATCCACCCTCTCTTGATAGTATAGACTTAGGTATCTTATATAATCATACGATCTCATCAACATATAATTTTTAAATTTCTCAATATAATCTGTCAATCTAATAGGCAATAAATACACAGACTTGGTTAACCTGTTTATAATGACCCATATAAGATCACATCACTATTTTTATGGACAAACAAATTGCAAACATATTTTTATTTCATCTCATTTTGACTCTCGTCGGCTGTAACTGTTAACCTAGCTTTTGATTATTGACCTTGACTAACAAATTTGTAGGGCACTTAATCATAAATTCTATAATTTTTTTTATTATTTATGAGCACCAAAGCATTTCTTTGAGCTCCCGATAATTTTATTACTACCTTGGTAGGAAAATAAATATTTTTTAATTATTGACATCTAGTACATAAATCCTATTTTTGTATTTTAGTAATTCATTTTCATCCATTATATATTCCCTTCTATAGACTTAACTAATTTTATAATTTTTGAAATATTAATATTTTATTCCAGTGATCATGTGTTATGTCTTAAATAGAGTAGAAAGTTAACTATTTCAATTGAATAATCTTCTCATTATTATATTCAATGGCTAATAATTTAAATTTATTTATATCTTTAATTAATTGTTGTTGTTGAGTAATCAACGAATTTGTACTGCTTGAAGCTTTCATACGTTGTGCATTCACTGTGACATTTCCCTTTCCTGAGTGATACTTATAATCTTTATAAGTTTTATCCATCTTTTTTTATCTCATATTCCTTTTTTTGAAAGTAAAAATACATTCCTAACTTCAGATATCGATATAGTTTTTACATCTGACTCCATATAAGGAATGTATTCATATTTTGAGTGCAAAAAGCTACTGCTACTAATTCTAGGTTATGCATTGGATGGTTTCTTTCACGATTTTTAGTTGTCTCGAAGCATAAGCAATTAATCTACCATGCTACATTAAAACACGATTAATCCTCTTAATGATGCATCCTGATGTTGTATTTGAAATTTTTTTGTTCTTTAGGGATTGGTTAATATTGAAGCAACCATTCAATTGGCTTTTAGTCTTTGGAAGTCCTCCTCAAAAGAATTATTTCATTTAAATTTTATTATTTTTTGAGTGTCTTGATAGCAACATGACAATTGTTGAGAATCTTCCAACTAATTTCTTACAATGTCCTACGGTACCTAAAAATTTCTCTTAGAACCTCGTTGGCCTTTGCCAGTTTGCAATGGTTTTTAAATTTTTTCATCTACTAAAATACTCTCGTTGTTGATCACATTCACATGCCCATGAAAAGTTACACTCTTTAACTATAATTCATATTTTAAAAAAATGTGTAAAATTTATTTTTTTTTCACAATCTATAAATTGTTTGAAGATGGTTTGAATGATTGACTTTTTTCATTGAACAAACAAATAAATTATCTATGAATACAATCAAAAATATATTTTAGTCCATAAATTCTGTTGGTGCATTTGTTAATCCAAATGGCATCACCACAAATTTATAATGATCATATCTCATTTTGAATGATGTTTTAGATGTATCCTCTCTGATGTGTTGTTGATATTAAACTTATCCTAAATCAATCGAAAAGAAGACTGAAGCTCCCTTGAGCTATTAGAAAAGATTGATATCTCTTGTAAATAGATATTTATTTTTAAGATTGAGCTTTTTCATCTCGTTATACACATTATGAAATTTATATCTTTTTTACCTTACAAATAATACTAGTGCTTCTCATGACAATGTACTTGGTCTTAAAATTCATTCATCCAATTGTTTTTGTTGTTAATTTTTCAAGTCTTGTAAGTTTTTAGCATGCAATACGGTGCTCTAGAAAATAGTTCAAAACTTGATAATAAATCAATTGTAAAGTTAATCTCTCTTAATGATTGTAGTCCTGGTAAATTATTCAGAAAATTTGTGGATATTCCTTCACGGCTAGTTTATCATTCAATTGTTTTACCTCGTTATCAGATCTCTAACTTGAAAGCGAAAATTTTAATAACCACTTTTCACTTACTTGTAAGTCTTCATGGATATTATTATCATCGATGTCTATATTCAATCTCAATGGAATATAAATTATACATTTCCAAGTAAATTGAATGATCACTTTTTCAGTACAATATGTAGTTATGAACTAGTTAGATAGTCAATCCTTTGTGCTTTAGAATACCTCTGGCAAATATTTAAATTTACTTTGCACATTTTGTTAACTTTCATATAGTTTTCATTTAGGATCATGATTGATAAAGGAATATGTATTATTGAAGTATTCAAATCCATTAATTTAATTAAATCATTAAAAATGATAGAGTGAGATGCTATGTCAAAAAGTTATTTCTTTTGAGAATCGCTGAAACAAAAGCTCGATCTTGTTAATTTGGGAAGATTATAATTGGATAGAATATTGAAGGCAATATTTTTGTGGCTCTTTAAAATACAACCATATTTTTTGGCAGGTAGTGCTATATTGTAAAACATTTTGAAAAGAGAGGTGAAAAAAGAAGTATAAGCGTTGTACCTTTGAATATTATATGCAGTCGTATGGGAGTCTTTGTTTATGCTTTTATTTGGTTTCCTACATATGGTATTGATTAATCTAAAATTTGATGTTGGGTTGACTCTGAATTAGATGCGTATTAGTATGTATTTAGATTTAGATGAAATGTCTATTGTTATTTGGATAGTTATGGAGGATAGTGTAGTGATTTGTTAAGATATATTTTCAATAAAATGTTAAGGAGTAATAATTTAAAGCAAAGGCCTAGCTCTATATTATGTTAACTAGCAAAATAAAATAAATTTACACGTCAATGCAATGGATCTATTACAGATTAAGGAGTATAGTCTAAAGATTTCATAGTTTCAGAGAATCAATTTGGTTTTTTTCAAAAAGGACCTACATTGCAAATGATTTTAATGTTTAGACAATTAATCGTGAAGTAATGAAGTTTAGTGAACAAAAAAATAGTTGTATGTGAATTTTATTGAATGCATATAGTCAAGTAGCACTGATTTGATTTAGTGTGCATTGAAGTAGAAAAATATGTTAAATATATGTTGATCTTATTAAAGAAAAGCATGATCATGAACTGATGAGTGTTAGCATTAATTATGGAGTTACAGGAGGTTTTTCCTTTATCATACATTTACTTCAAGATGCAATATTTGGTTCAAATGTTTTTTATTGGTTGTGAAGATGCTTATCAAGAATATTCAAAGTAAGGTGCCTTGGTGCATGTTATTTGTAGATGATATTATTTTAATTTTGTAACACCCACAAAAATTAATGAAAATTTTGAGCAATTGTGAAAATATTTAGTAGATAGAATTCTTAGAATTTGTAAACCAAAATTGGGTATATCATATGTAATTTTAGTGGTATGATAATAACAATTATTATTTATTATTTTTGTAGGATATGTTGATGCCTTGGTGCAGTAAGTTTAAGTATTTTTTTATCTTATATATAGAAAAAAATGAAAATATAAATGAAGATATTACTTCAAATGGAGAAGTGCTTTGAAAAATTTTTATGATAAAGAATATATTGATGTTTACTGCTAAGCTTTATGAAACCACAGGCAGGATAATGCGTTATATGAATCAAAATGTTGGACAAATTAGAAGTTATTGATATCTAAATATGATATTTTTGAAGAAAGTAAGATTGTTAAGTAGAAAAAAGTTGAAAATATAAATTGAGAAATGATTATATTTTAGGGAAGATGGGGGTTTTCGGATGACTATTGAGTATAAAATAATTGAAATAGAATTTTAGATAGTTTTGGCATCCACGAAAGAAGGTTAGAAAATACATTTTTTAGACAATTTATAGAGCTATTGTAAAAGGATTAAAAAAAAATTTGATAGACCTGGGTTTGCATATATTGAAGTTGTCTGTTATATTTGCAAATAATCAGTCTATTATCTCAAACAACACTCACCAGAAAGATTCATATGCTAGTCTTAAAGAGTTGGATTAATGCGATGATTAATACTTATCTTTTTCTGCTTGAACGGAAGGCTGCCATCTAAATATGGTTTGTTCTTATTTTGTATGGTTCTGGAACAACCATATTCTTTTATACCAATAATCAGTTTTGCTGCATTTTTAGTGTATCGAGATTTCTATTGGTTCATTGGAAAATACTTTAAATATTGAGTAAATCATTTTTTAATTTAAAGTATATTGATCAGGTTCTTCCCCTACTGGTATAGGCTTAGAGAAGCATTTTTGGCTGTTTGCAATATTATTATGGTATTTTCTATACGAATCCATATCTTTCAAGGAAAATTTCTATTCATACTAATGGCTTTTCTACAATGCTTCTCATAGACGATAGAGAGCACTCCCTGTGGCGATTATAGTGAAGATGAAGCTGTTAATCTTTCTCAACTTGTAAGTGAGAATCCATTATGCTTTCATCTTGCTCAAGGTGCTCAATGTTTATTAATTTGGTGCTTTCTTTAAATGTGAATTTTCCTTATTGGGCGATGAAGTTGATGACTTCTGTTTTATACTTATTACCACATGCAACCTTTTTTCTCACTGTTTTAATGAGTTTGTACAAGTCTAGTTGTTTCTTATGCGGCTGTATTTTACTTTTATATGCAGCACCTAATCGACCTGGCAGGCTCAGAGAGCTCGAGGGTTGAAACAACAGGATTGAGGAGGAAAGAGGGAGCTTACATCAATAAAAGCTTATTGACCCTTGGAACTGTATGGTCATTATTTGGTTAATCTTAATTTCCTATTTGATCATTTTAAAGATTCATTGGCTTTTAATCCTTCCATTTTATTGTGCATTGGATATGTAGCTCTGCTAAGTCCCTTTATATGTAAGTCCCTTTATATGTTGCTTTATACCGTATGTTGCATACCTGGCAGTGATTGTATCTTTTGAAATTTTTGAATAATCCAACTTAATCCGCAATTCAGATATAAGTTGTATGTAATCAACATATCAATTGTTCACTTTGCACTTCAAATTTTCCAGTGAAAGTTCAGTGATATACACTATGTCTGTTCACTTATCCTAGTGAAATAGTTTGAATTTATGTTACGATCAAGTATTTATATTATGTTGCAAGCTAGACTTATGGCTGTTCAAACTCCTCCATATCTTCTATTCACAGGGCTGTTAGGTGCTTGTTTCGCACACAGTTTTGCTTAAGTGGACCACCGTTGTGGTCTTTCATGTTTAAGAAGATCAAGTTTGTTTTAATAAAGCAAAATCATGCATTGTCAAAAGATTGCTGTATTGGTATATTTTTTTGTCCGAGCTTAATTTTTCTTGCTTTTGCTTGGCTTGTTAAAGTTTACTTTTCATGATAAATTGACAATTATGAGGATTCTTTTGAAATTATATGAAGGCTTAATCTATCTTGCATCCACGTAAATCAATGTATTTAAGGATCCTTGATTATTTTTGGTTTGTGATGTGGGATTTTTTCATTTGGATGCTGGTTTTGATTTATACCGTCAGAGGTGGCCTTTGGCTCGTTGTCCTTGTGAATTTAGAGTTAATTTTTTCATAAAGTGGTGCATTGAGATTTTTGTGGAGTTTTTTTTTTTCATTATTCCAGTAGATCTTGTTTGTTGCACTTGGCAGGTTTCCAATTTTTGTCGCTGTGTGAACAATGGGTTGCAGTTCCCAATGTTGGCATATGGAGGCTTGTTGTTTTACTGGAAATGAATAAATGTGCTAGAGCTATTTGTAGATTATGGAATGCAAAATTAAATTGTGAATTCTTTTTTAATTAATGTAAGCTTCATATTGAACTCTTAAGTCAACCATATTTACTAACTTAGGTTATGATGAGTCTATAAATAGGTATTATGAGGTATTTTACTAACAAGTTTTTACGTCAATAACATTCCTTTCTAGTTTTTGATCTTGTGAATATGAGTTAATGTGTTAATCCTTCAGATGTGGTACAAATGTGACTATCTAATTTTGAAGAAAGTCATCTCCTTGTATAGGTATGAGGTTTGGTTTTCTGTTTTCCTTCTATTTTGTTTTTATTAGATATTAACTTGTTTAGTGCTCTTTATTTTGAACAAAAATTGATCTGATGGAAAGTTGTAGAAATTAATTCTTTATGATGAGAGAGATAAAATTTGTAAATATGATAAAGATATTATTAATAAATATTAAATATAATAAAAAGGAAATCTAAAGCATAAAACTTTACATATGGTCAATTCTAAAAGTGCATTATTCATCGAAACTCATATAAATAATTTGGGTTAATCTTTTTTAATGTAATAATTGTATGATTTTGTAGGAAAGGGATGAAATTCCACATAGATGAGAGCAAACAAAATACTTTATTTGACTAACACAAAACAACCCAACCCGAATACATAAATGATAAACACCCACAATTTGTGAGGTAGGTGATTTCCCCCAAACCCTAACCTTAACACCAACAATTTGAGAGGTAGCGATCTCTCCTAAACTCTTAGCCTAAGGCTCTGTTTGGGGCGGCTTTTCTCACGTCGGCGCGACAACAAATCGCGAAAAGTTACTGTTTGGCTTCCGGCTTCGCGGCAGAAGGACGTCAAAGCGGGCGGAAAGCGGGCCGCGGGATCGACCCCGCGGTCCC